GGAGGTGCTATAGGAGCCTAGGTGATGTTCTATGGGCCCTGGGCAGTGCTATATGGGCCCAGGCGATGGTGTATTGGCCCTGGGCAGTCTTATGTGGGCACCGGGAGGTGCTATAGGAGCCTAGGTGATGTTCTATGGGCCCTGGGCAGTGCTATATGGGCCCAGGCAGTGCTATGAGGGCCCCGGAAGGTGCTACAGGAGCCCAAGCAGTGTTATATGGGCCCCAGGACGTGCTGTGTGAGCCCTGGGTGGTACTATAGGAACCCAGATGGTGCTATATGGGCCCAGGCGATGTTCTATGGGCCCTGAGTGCTGCTATACGAGTCTAGGTGATGTTCTGTGGGCCCTGGGTGATGCTATATGAGCCCAGGCAGTGTTGTATGGGCCCCAGAAGGTGCTATAGGAGCCTAGGTGATGTTCTATGGGCCCTGAGCGGTGCTATAGGAGCCCAGGCAGTGTTGTATGGGCCCCAGGAGATCCTGTAAAAGCCTAGGTGATGTTATTTGGGCCTCTGGAGGTGCTATAGGAGCCTGGGCAGTGTTATATGGGCCCTGGGCATTGCTATAGGAGCCCAGGCAGTGCTATATGGGCCCAGGCGATGTTATATGCCCCTGGGTGGTCTTACATGGGCACCAGGAGGGGCTATAGGAGCCTAGGTGATGTTCTATGAGCCCTGGGCAGTGTTATAGGAGCCCTGGGTGGTACTATAGGAGCCCAGATGGTGCTATATGGACCCAGGCAATGTTATATAGGCTCTGAGCACTGCTGTGTGAGCCTAGGTGATGTTCTATGGGCCCTGGGCAGTGCTGTATGAGCCCAGACAGTGTTATATGGGCCCTGGGAGGTGCTGTATGAGCCCGGGCAGTGTTATATGGGCCCCAGGAGGTGATATATGAGCCCTGGGTGGTGCTATATGGTCCCAGGCAATGTTATTTAGGCCCTGGGCAGTCTTGTATGGGCGCCAGGAGGTGCAATAGGAGCCTAGGTGATGTTCTATGGGCCCTGGGCGGTGCTGTATGAGCCTGGGCAGTGTTATATGGGCTCCAGGAGGTGCTATAGGAGCCCGGGCAGTGTCATATGGGCTCGAGGAGGTGCTATAGGAGCCCGGGCAGTGTTATATGGGCCCTGGGCAGTGCTATACAAGCCTGGACAGTGTTATATGTGCCTCAGGAGATGCTATAGGAGCCCAAGTGACGTTCTATGGGCCCTGGGCAGTGCCATATGGGCTCTGGACATGATATGGGGGCCCCAGGCAGTGGTATATAGGCCCTGGGTCCCCGTGTATGGGCCTGGACAGTCTTTTGTGGACCCTGGGCGCTGTTATAGGGCCCTGGGTGGTGTTATATGGGCCACGGTGGGTGTTGTAGGGCTGTGGCTGGTGCCATATGGCCGTGGCTGGCGTCATACAGCTCTGGCCAGTGTGGTATGGTGATGGCTGGTGATAAACAGTCCTGGTGAACACAACATGGCTGGTACTGGTGCTGTGTGGCTGTAGCCAGCACCAATGCGTCTGTGACGGTGTCACCTGTCACAGCCGGTGTGGTACAGCCATGGATGGTGTCAACGGGCCATGGTCAGTGTGGCATGGCCACGGCTGGACCTACATGGCCTTGGTGTCACACAGCCCTGGTGTCAGGCGCCGGCGGTGTCACAGGGTGGTGGCAGTGTCATGGGGTGGTGGCAGTGGCGTCACGTGGCGGTGGCCCCAGCTTGGGGCCCAGCCCAGGAAGCCCAGGAAGGGGAAGTTGGGTGTTGGGGCCGCGGGGACGATCAGGGGACGTGGGGGACACAGGGTGGCCTTCCCCCTCCCTATCAGCACTTTGCCACCATGTCGTTGCCCTCTGTCTACCAGAACAAGTTCGCTGAGAAGCTGACGATCCTCAACGACCGGGGACGGGGCG